GCACATATGTAAAGTGCACACTTTGATTAGTTTTGTCATATGTGCACATTCCTGAAATCATCACTCCACATAGATTTTAACACGTATTAGTATCTATAATTTCCTCTCAAATATTCTTAACGTCTGCCTGATCTGAAGTAATTTGCCCATCTTCACTTGTGAAACCAGCTGTTCCTCTGTCCCACCTCCCTCCTGGGTTTCATTTGCTTTTTTTTTTTTTTTTTTAAATTTCTAGGTAGTTGCTTAGAGAATTAATTTTCAGCCTTTCTTCTAACATATGTATTTAACCATATAAATTTATAAGCATAGTTTTAGTTGCAACTCAAATTTTCCTTCTTAAGTTTTAATATAGGGTATTTTCATTATTCAGTTCAAAATATTTCAAATCTTCTTTTGAGTTCTTCTTTGACAGATGGTTATTTAGAAGTCTATTTTACTTCCAGATATATGGGGATCGTTGCATTATCTTTCTGTAATTGATTTCCAGCTTAACTGCATTGTGGTTAGAGAACATATTTCACTTGAATGAACTCTTTTGACGTTTGCTGAGACTTGCTTTATTGTTCAGCATACAAATTGTGGTGTGTGTGCCATTTGCATTTGAAAAGGAAGCTGTTGAGTGTAGCGTTCCACTTGAATCCACTTGGCCAAGTTTTCTAAATGGTCCATATGGTGGTTGTTTTTATTTTTATTTTTGTTTTTTCACTGTGTTAAATTCTTCTACTTCTTTCAGTTCTATTGAGATATAGTTGACATACAGCACTGTGTAAGTTTAAGGTGTACAGCACAATGATTTGACTTACATCATGCAATGATGACCACACTAATACAGGTACAGAATTAAAGCAATTTAAAAAATGTTTCCCCTTGTGATGAGAACTCTTAGGATTTACTCTTTTACATCCCTAGTACTGGAAATCTGTACTATACTGGTGGTTTTAAAATCAAACCCAATAATCTTTGTCAACACTGACGCATTAGCCTATTTAGATTTAATATAATAATGGTTTTATCACATGTATCTTTTTTTTTAATTGAAGTACAGTCACTTTACAATGTTGTGTCAATTTCTGGTGTACAGCATAGTAGTTCAGTCATACATATACATGTATTCATTTTCATTTTCTTTTTCATTATAGGTTACTACAAGATACTGAATATAGTTCCCCGTGCTGTACAGTATAACCTTGCTGTTTATCTATTTTGTGTACAGTAGTATCTGCAAATCTCGAACTCCCAATTTATCCTTTCCTACCCTCTTCCCCTCCTGGTAACCATAAGTTTGTTTTCTATGTTGGTGAGTCTGTTTCTGTTTTATAAATAAGTTAATATCTTTTTTTTTTTTACATTCCACATATAGGTGATATCTTATGGTATTTTTCTCTTTCTGGCTTACTTCACTTAGAATGACAATCTCCAGGTCCATCCATGTTGTTGCAAATGGCATTATTTTATTTTTTATGGCTGAGTAGTATTCCATTGTATAAAAATACCACACCTTCTTTATCCAGTCGTCTGTCAATGGAGATTTATGTTGCTTCCATATGTTGGCTGTTGTAAATAGGGCTGCTGTGAACACAGAGGTGCATGTATCTTTTTGAATTAGAGGTTCCTCTTGATATATGCACAGGAGTGGGATTGCTGGACCATATGTAAGTCTAATTTTAATTTTTTGAGGAATCTCCGTACTGTTTTCCATAGTGGCTGCACCAGACTACATTCTCACCAGCAGTGCGGGAGGGTCCCCCTTTCTCCACAGCCTCTCCAGCATTTGTCATTTGTATCTTATAACCTGCTTTCTGTTTGTCCCACCGCCTATTCTGTTTTTCTCCTCTCCTTATCTAATTTTGTAGCTCTTAAATCTGTCCACTGAATTATTCCACCTTCTTTCATTAGCTTAAAAGTTAAACACTTTCACTAATATTTATTACAATATGCATTGTAGATGTATCAAAGTCTAATATTAAATGAGATTTTTTTCTAACCCTCTTTCTGGATGAGCAGAACTCTTAAACCCTATTTAAGCCCTCCCCAGCTACATATATTGACTTTCATAATTTTAATATATATTTAAAGCTTCACAAGACACAGTCATTGTTTTACGTAGTATTTATGTTGACCTGAACATTTATCGTTTTTGTTGCTCTTCAACCCTTCGCGAAGCTCTGTTCTTACATTTGGGGTCATTTTCCTTCTGCCTTCAGAATACTCGTTTAATTTCCCTTTAGGGTATGGACGCTGATGAATTCTTCCAGCTGTTTGTCTAAAAGTGTCTTTATTTACTTCTTCATCCTTTCAGGATACTTCCCCCAATTAGGAACTTCAAGGCTGCAGTCATTTTCTTTCAGCACTTCAAAGGCACTATATTTCATTGTCTCTGCTAAGTTAGCTGTCCGTGCAATTGTTGCTCCTTTGATGGTGATCCCTCTCTTGCCCACGCCTCACCCCCCAGCAGCTTACAGTTCTTTTCTTCCCCCTTTGGTTTTCAAGGTTTACTATGATGGGTCTAAATGTGCATTGTGTTTTATTTATTCCACTTGAGATTTGTTGGGTCTTCATGAATTTATGGCTTGATTCCGTTCATGAGTTTTGGAAAAGTTCTGGGCCAGTATTTATTCAACTACCCCGTTCTTTTACTCTTTTGAGATCCCAAGTACACTTAGGTCAGACAGACATCCTCACTGTATCCTTTGTGCCTCTTAACTTCTATTTTCTATCTTTTTGACTGTTTTTGTTTCTGATTTTTTACCTTATTCATTCTCTTCTCAGTTGTGACTAATCTGCTCTTAAATCCATCCATTGAATTCTTTTCTTTTTTTTTAGGAAGGAGGTAATCAGGTTTATTTATTTAATGGAAGTACTGAGGATTGAACCCAGGACCTCATGCATGCTAGGCAAGTACTCTACCACTGAGCTATATCCTCCCCCCATCCATTGAATTCTGAATTCTTGTTATATTTTTCAGTTCTAGAATCTCCATTTGTGGTCCCTTTTTATTGTCTCTAATTCTCTGAAATTCTGAGGCACGCTTTTTCTCTTCTCTGTTTTAAACACACAAAGCATAGGTGTTTCAAGTTCTGTGACTGGGACATCTGGAGAGAGTGAGGGTATTTTTTTCCCTCTGATGGCTTCATTCATGTAACTTACATTGTTTGGGCTTCTCATATACCTGGATATTTCTGATTGTAACAGAAATAATTTGAGGCCTTGGGTTATGCTCCTGTCTTAAGTCAGCTTGGGCTGCTATAATGAAATACCATAGACTGGGTGGCTTAATCAAGATACAGTTATTCCTCAGTTCTGGAGGCTGGGAAGTCCAATATTAAGGCGCTGGATGAGTCCATCCCTGGTGAGGGCTCCCTTCCTGGCTTACAGACAGTGGTCTTCTTGCTGTGTCTCCACATGGCTGAAAGAGAGATTTCTCTCATGTCTCTTCTTCTAAGGGCACTAATCCCATCACGGGGGCTCCACCCTCATGACTTCATCTCAGCCTAATCACCTCCCAAAGGCCCAACCCCCTAACACCATCACATCGGGGCTTTGGGCTCAATATGTGAAATCTGAGGGATACAATCAGCCCAGAGCAGCTCACTTCCTCCAGGGAAAATGCACGTTTGCTAACTAAGCACCTGGGGGCACCAGCAATCTGGTTTCACCTCAGTCCGTGTTTAGGGGCTGAGGTGGTTGAGAAGCTGGGCCACAGTATCGATGAAGGATTGTCTGCTGACGGTAATGGAGGACTAGGTAATCCAAACCAAGGGCAGCTTGTCTTCTGGAGGGGGCTGCCGCCAGCTCCAGAGGCTGTGTCTGAGTAGCTGGCACTTTTGACAGCTTTGTGAAGTCAGGACAGTAGGGGCTGCCACACATGACCTGACCAAGATGGGGTCGGGAGCTCTTGATGAATCTCCATTGCCTTGGGTGGATATACCCTAATAAGGTGAAATTTTATGCTTTGAGTTCTTAAAAAATAAGAATGCATTATTTGCTGTGGATTGCGCTATCATCCATTCCTCAGCTTTTCATATTCATAGAGAATTTCATATTCACCAGAGAATAGAAACTAACCTCCTTGACTCCTGGAGACAATGTAGGACATTGGAGTAGCCCTGAATTTGGCATCAGTGCGCCCAAGGATCAGTCCCTAATATCAAGCGGCAGCTACTGAAACTGCAGGCACGGTGCCTGGAGGGAATTAAGAGACCCAAAGGGTTGACCTTGCAAACTTAAGCCTATAACGTATCAGCAAGTACCACAACTCTGTTAATTTATGGCTCCGGAAAGCAGACTCAGTTATACAGAAAGCTTTAACGCCGAATGCAAAACCCCAGCTCCCCAGAACTTAAGACAGTACGTTGCCTTAAGAATGATAAATTAAGAAACTTACGGCCTACAAGCACTCCCGTACTGACGCTCCTCTTGGTTGGACCTAAACAAGCTGGAGGAAGAAGGTGCTGAGTGTTCTGATGCTGGTCCTACATCCTTCCCTCTCCGTCTTCCTCTTCTCCAGCTCCTGCAATTTCCTTCCAGGGGAGAACACTGTGCGCGTAGCGTACTTTCCGTGCTTCACTCTCAGGGACTTTCTTTTCTTTCCTTCCTGTCTTTGTCCTTGAGCTGCTCCATATCCCCACTGCCATGTGCACTGCTGAATGGTGGCCAGCCTGTGATGCTGACCTTGCAAGGCTGTTGTTCACAGATCCTGTAACATCAGCCTCAGTGGGTGACTGTGGAAACCACAGTTATAATTTTGCATCTTTTTTGCACAGTGCCTTGAACTCTTGGTAGGGAAGGTGCCACTGAAAGGGATGTGTTCTTTTAAAAATAAATACTGTGGAAGAACACTTTGTTGGTATGATCACACACTACAATAATAACTTCGTATCTTGGGTAAAACCAGGTGTTAATTTACATTCAAACACATGATGGTCCTGTATTACCTCGTTCTACACATTTTTACTTTGTGGAAAGCAAAAACATTCCTAAGTAAATTAATGCAAGTGTAATTCAAGTTTATCATTTAAATTTATTGTCAGGTAATGAATCTTTCACAAAAATAAAGAAGAGACTCCTGGAGGACTTGCAGAGCCGAGGCAGTGATGCAGCGGTGTCTGGAAGTGTGGACTCACACGCTGCCTCTGAGGCTGGAGCCCCAGCCGAGCTGTTAGACCAGCGAGCACGTCTGCTGAGTGGTTAAATAAAGGGGCGGGACGTGGAGGAAGAGACCACTGGAGAATGGGCCTGGTGGCCTGGAGAAGAGACTGTGGGAGGCCCTTAATCTGGGCTTACTTGGTGGTTTGCCCTCTATGACTGAGTTCTGGGGGACTGTCTCTCCCCTGGTCACAGGATCTGACAGTCCTGCAGCCCAGTGATTGTCCCGCAGCCCTGCCCGGCCCTCAGTCTCCTAAGATAGCCCCGTGGTCCTTACCAGAGGCTTGGCTGCTCCATGTGACCCTTTAAAAATTTTGTTTTGATTTAAAGGAAAGGAAGCAAATCAAAATACTTTGGAAACAAATTAAAGCTACTGTCATTTCCCCACATAAGAAATAAAAATGATTGCCACCTGAAACGGTAAGCACATCATTTCCCCCCTCTGACTGAGAGGACTGCTCCTTCCACCTTCAAACTGCCTCTCCTCCAAGCCAGACTAACAGAAGCCGTTCACATGCCTCATCTGCTGGTCTGAGGCAGCGGTTTGTGTAGACACGTCAGAGGCCTGAATGGAACGAAGGCCTGAGGTGGCGGCAGGCAGGCTGCATGTGCCTCCTGGGTCCACCCACTAGAGATGGCCCTTTGTAAGTCAGCCAACCTCAGGGAGCTTTGGTCTCAGTCCCTGTCCTGACGATAATGAAATCTCCTGGCCGACCTCAAAAGCTGCTGGAAGGACAGAGCAGCCAGGCTATCCATGGGTGGAAACCACACAGATGTGTACTGACCCGTGGGAGTGTTTGTAGCCTTCTCCAGAGCTCAGTGTGAGAGAAGATGGTGCCTCTTCCGCCCTGAGAAGACAATGATGGACCAAAATGACTCAGGCTCCAGCCCAGGGACATGGGGACAAGGGAGAAGCTGGCTCTTGATATAGATTTGACAGCAGCAGGTTGAAACAGGTGCTCAGCCTTGTCTGGGACCATGTGCTTTCTATGCAGAAAAGCAGAGAGTTTTTGTGTCTTTGAGAATGAAACTAGGCCATGAAGAGGCCGTGGACCCAGTGCCTGACCGGAAAGGCCCATCCGCCTCTGCCCTCGGTGCTCACTGCTCTGCTCAGGGTGACCCAGGCGGCCGTTTCCCTCAGAGAAGCCCCTCCCTCCAGCTCAGGGACCAAACTGTGGATCCCAAAGGCCCCAAAGAGTTTAAACAAAGTCAGAAACGAAGGGAAAAACATGTTTTTCATCTCATGTGGAATACTGTATTAATCAAATTGGTCTCCTTTTTCTCCTATTAGTCTGGTTGAAGAAAAAAGACTGCTTTCAAAATGAAGCTTTTCTTTTCCCAATGATTAATACAGAGTGGATTAACTTAATTTGTGCTAGACTCCAATTTAATTCAGCTACAGCTCAGAGGCCAAATCCACAGAAAAGTTAATCTGGGCTTCATGAGAAGGAACCATTTCTTTCTTTGAGGGGAAGATGCAGAGGATCTAAAGGCTTATATCTAACCGCCCGGCCTTATATCACAGGCCCTCTGAAAGGCAATCACACACACACGACTTCATTTCCTTACTAACTCCTGTCCTGTCATCTTTTCAGACTGATATTTCTCAGTGTTGAAAGAAACACGCACACACACACATACACTAGACCAAAACAGAAATCTTGAATGTACAAAAAAAAAAAAAAAAGAAAGAAAGAATGTACTGGTCAAGTGTTATATGCCTAAGGCATCAGGTTCCTGGAAAAGCTCTAGATTTTTGGTTCAGAAATAAAATTGCATGTGAAAGAGCAGGTTTTTACATTTATTATTGTTGTGTACCCCCCTCCCCCATTTTGCACTATCATCTAAACTAAGTGATCTATTGCCAACTGGCACCAATTTTCCAAACCCAACTGTGCAAGGGAAACATGCCTGTGTGATCTTCTTTAATAGAAGATGCACCAGGGAATCTGTCTACCTCTGTTTCCCAGAAAGCAAATAACTAGGAAGGCTGCTTGGCTGGAGGGGGTGAGGGCGGGAGATGGCGTCCAGCCCTCAGTCGGAATCCATCGTGAACAGCTGGATGTCCTGCGGGTTCCAGTACAGGCCCACGGCTGAGTTGTACACCAGGGACCAGACATAGGGGATAAAAAACTCCTCAGGCTGCTCCTCTTCCACATATTTGAATTTCAGTTCTGGAAATTTCTGTAACAAAAACAAAGTGATTGGATAAATCTCACAGTCCCAAGCAGAAGCAGGTGTGGTTCTGAAGTGGTGTGTGGTGCACCTGGAGCCCACCTCCCCTGACTGGTCACAGGGCCTGCGAGCCCTGGGGCCAGAAGACCCAGCTTCCAGATGACTCCGGAGCACGCGTGCTCTCCTGCAGGAAGGACGAGGGCAGCGGACGGTAGCCGGCCGCGAGGAGCAGGGACGAACAGGGGGCGATGCGGGATGAGAAACATCAGACGGGAAACGGCCCACTTGGGCCCTGTGGCGGGGGGGGGGCGGTGACTCCCCGCTGAGCTCGGGGGAAGCTTGGGTCTGGCCCTACAGACGCTTCCAGGTGACCGGGTTGCTCTCTGCGGCCCTGACGGAGGACTGAGGACACGTGCAGCTTTGAGGTCCTGGCAGTAGCACTCTCATCGCAGCTTCCACCAGGATTCAGGGTTTGGATTTTTCTAATTTCACTCCTGACCTATTTATTCCAGCCAGGGCGGAGGATGTGAGTCTCCTTCCGAGAGCCTGAGTTGCTGCTGGGGTCTACGGAAAGCCTCCGGGCTGCTTCCCTGGCCGAGGCGACTCCGGCCCGAGTGGCTGTGGTTTGGTGACCTGTGTCCCAGGTGGGGCGGGGAGAAGGGGGCAACAGTGACAGAAGAGGAGGGTGTGGCGGAAGGGGAGAAAGGGAGCAACGCACACACAGAACGCATGGCTCACAGGGGCAGATTTTTATCCAGCGTGTTTGCTGCTGTATCTGCAGAGATGATTTGATGACTGAATCAATGAAGCAGTCAACCATGTAAGGACCAACCATGTCCCAGGCACACGGGTAAAGGCTTCACGTCCACTGCTGTATTCAGTTCCTCTTACATGAGTCATTCATTCATCATGCTGGTTGAGCGTCTGCTCCTCTGCGCCCGGTGGGCGCCAGAGCCTCGGGATACAGGGTGAGCAGCCGCACCCTGTTCCTGTCCTCACTGAAGGTGCGTTCACAGAGACAAACGGAAGCAGCAGCAGCAGCAAAACAATAAGAGAGTAGTAGGAAGGGAAGGACAAGAGGCTCAGAGGCCTGCGGGTGGTGGAGGGGGAGCCGGTGGAGGGGGGACAGCACAGACGGAAGGGGAGGGGCAGAGGAAGAGTGAGCCCTGCTCGGCAGGGCCCAGACAGGAGGACAGGAGCTGCGGGAGCCATATGAAGACTGCTGGCCTCTGAGCTAAGGTTCCAGAAGCCGTTTAAGGGCCTCAGAAGGGGGGCTGATGAGAGTGGCTCTGTGCAGGGACCGCTCTGATCACGGGGGGATAAATCCCGGGCACCTGGCAGGGACAGGGCCTGGTCCAGGTGAGGGGCATGTGGCCTGAACAAAAATGACACTAGCTGGGTAGATTTAAAAGATATTAAACAGAAAGGAGGGTGGGGAGGGGCAGGGGGAGAAACACACACACACACACACACACACACACACACACACACACACACACACACACACACACACACACACACACACACACACACACACACACACACACACACACACACAGTTACAGATTTTGAAAACCATCATTTGCAGTGATTAAGACTAAACATCTTAGTGCTGGATCCTCAGAGTTCCAGAATGAGGACAGAGGGGAAGAGTTAAGCAGGAAATGCTTCGTGGCAAGATGAGTTTTGAGCTACATCTTGAAAAAGTGGGTAGGCAGGAATCCATCCAAAGGAAGGTCCCCTGATCATGAATGTGACTTCAACATACCAGAGACAGCACAGTCCCTGCTTGCTATGGCTTTTTCATGAAACCAACTCCATTCCACGGCTTCCAGGGCGTAGGCAATTACAGAATATACACAAGTGGGTTTTACAAGTGGCCCCAGCTCGAGCACTATCTACCCCTGGGTCCTCCCTCATGCTCTATACACCTTATACTTTGTAAAACTACTCTGTTTTAATGAAAACCCAAGCCTTCTCAGACTATCAGTGTTTCGAGTCAGCTCTTCACCGTCAGGGTAGGCTGGAAGTCTCAGTGTGGGCCAACGGCAATGCTGATTACAGCGCGGGGAGTGACTCCTCCCAGGGGCTCATGGGGTCAGTCTGGCTGACAGAGTTAGATCAGCTCGGGGACATGGTACCACATCCAGCACTTAATGATCGAACTGAAATGCAACCAGGTCCCCGAGCTTTCCACTCCCTTGTCATCCACTCACTGGGCCCCTTGGGTCCCTCCCGCCCTGGGCCCACGTCCTCCGGGCGCACCACAACCACTCAGCAGCGGGGTGCTCTCTGCGGGCCCGGAGCCCCCGGCATCCCGGATGGGCTTCCTCACAAGCCCTGCGCTGCCCCGGCCTGGCGTGGGGTCCTTGGGTATGGGGACAGGGCTGCTGGAGGTGGAGTAAGTCTTTGTCACAGGATCACGTGTCTTATAGGTAGCAACACAGTGATCTTCTTCTCCATGAAAAATCTGCGTTTGTAGTAAGAGGACGCAGCAAGCAGCTGCCGCCAACCGAGCACTCCCCGAGCACCAGGTGGGTCTGGAAGCTCCCCAGGCACAGGGTGGTCAGTCAGCACAACATCCGGAAGGTGAAGAGGGCCTGGAGAGCTAAGCAGCTCGCTCACACAGCCTGGGGGGTGGAGTCGGGGGTGGAGCCTGGTCAGACCGGGCAGGAGAGTCAGTTTGAAAGGCGACACCGCAGTCCCAGCCACCCGAGTGCTTTGTCCTGAAATTCAGTTCTCCTCGGCTCCATGGAGCCCTTCGGGGTTAGTTCTGTGTCCCTTCACCATGTGACACAGAGTCTGGCCACTACTGGTCTTTAGAGAAATGACCAAACCTACAGTGATATCAATAACCAAGAAAGGATGGGGGGCTGTGTTTAAAGAAGAAAAGAAATTTGCCCCCTAATAATGAGGATGAAAGTCCCAGTTCTTGGAATGGCCTTAACTTGAGAAAACCTCTCATTCTGTCCTGGAGAGAAGTGAGGGGGCCAGGGGTGCAGAGGGGGTGTTTGAAAAGGCCCCCCGGCCCCCTCTTTGCCGCCTTCAGCTGGAATAATAACACCCTACATTTCTAAGTGGCAATGTCACCAGTAAGATGCACTCCTTGTTGTCAGACATAAAAGTGCCTAAAAGATGTGAAGCCTTTTCTCCACCCAGTGACAGGTTTCGGGGTTTTCCTACGAAGGATGGCCTTGGGACAGGATGTGAGGCCGCTCTCCGGATCTCCAGGGAGGGCGGCATGGGAAATAAGACAAGCAGAGTGCTTTCCCAAGAATCCCTTCCAATTGAATTAAAGGAACTCAGGCAAGAGCCGCTCAGGGGGGTGACACTACGTTCATGTGCTGGCACTAACTGCCCTCTTGGTTTTGGGGGAAGTTCTGATGGCTCTCCAGTCAGGAAAGTAATGAGTCAAAGACAGCCTTTAGATCGTACACAGGCAGAGCTAGGAAAGGGCCACCAGGAGAAGCCCGGGGCACCCCCATGACGAGCCTTCCCACCACCTGGTAGAAACAGCTGAAAATACCTCCTTTTCACTTTGGCGCCAGTTTACCTCAAAACAATAATCCATCTCAATCTGGAGTAAATGTAGTTAACAAAAATCTCAATGTAGGGTGACACCCAGAGTGGCAAGAATATCCAGATATAATATATAACAGTACGTGAAAATAGTATAAAATGGTATAAATTTTACCCAGCAAGAGCAGACAAATATTTTCATTGTGAAGTTTCTCTGGTGGATCAATGATTATTTCTATAGAAGTTCTCCATAAAAACGCAATGAATTCAGAGATTACGGCTAATGTTCATAGCTAACATAATCAATTACCGATCATGTGGCAGGCGTGTTCAAACACCTGACACCCAGCTACTCATTTAATCTTTGAAGTAACTAGAAAAAGCACCTGACAGGCAGGTGGACGATCTGAGTTGCAGTCCAAACCTTTCCCATCCATTCATGCATCAAGTGCTTACCGAGGGTCTGTGTGCAGCAAGCACGGTACCAAAACTACAGACGCACACAGTCCCAGTGTTTAGGAGCTGACAGTCTAGTCCTTGTCACTTGGGTGACTTGGGACAAGTCTCCTACCCTCACTCAGGCTCAGGCTCTTAAAGGACAGAGTTTACTCCACTCTGAGATTGTGAATTTAACCATTCTACTTCACAGGGTTGTGACAATCACATGCGATGAGCTGCATGTCAACTTTTATACTTTTACTTTCTCTGGTGCCTAACACAGAATAAGCACTCGGTAAACGCTGGCTGTTAGCACTGACATTACAGTGATACGCAAATGGAAGGCGTGGTCTTACTTTAGAACTTTCAGCAACCAAGTCTAAAGACCGAAGTACCATCCCTGGCCTGGTCCTAAGCCCATTTCTCTTACTCCACCCGACTGGACACTCTCACTTGACAACCCTGTTTCCTGACTCTGGTATTAATCACAGAAACATAGAGAATCTGGGCCTCCCCATGTGAAAACCCAGAAACAAGGGCTGACAAATGGCTTAAAAGCGACAAACTCATCTTCATTAACATTTTTAAAGAAAAAAGTTATGTCACTGAGAGAAGGCAGGTTCCGAAGAATTGCCTTCTGTCTGTCTCCGAGTCATCATTCATTGAACAGTGAGCTCAACGAGCAAATGCATTAACTGCAGATCTGCACACAGTCCTGGGAGGCAGCTATCCAGGCCGACTGCAGGCGGGGACAGGCCCTCGGGTGAGGTTATGGCTACAGTAAAGTGAACAGAAGGGTCACCTCTAAGACATATCTGACATTAGCTTCACAGCCTCCCTGGAGGATTATGGGGCATGTTCAACAACATCCAAAAAGAAGCCAGGGCTGTGGCATCTGACCTCCGAGCTGCATGGTGCTGTGGCAGCTGACGTGACCCAGGAGTGAGGACGCCACCCGGCTGGGCGCTCAGGGGAAGTGACACACACTCAGAGCGCCCTAGTGTCAGGTACTTCCCACCTCATCCATGACCACCTGTAACAAAACCAAAGTG